GATGGCACCTGACAACAACAACAAAATAAACAGAAAGGCATCTCGTGTTCACGGATTGGAAGATTCAAAATAGTTACGATAGCAATTCTCCCCAAATTGATCTATAGGTTAGTATAATTCCTGCCTAAATTCCATCAGGCTTTTTCCGAAATTGACAAGCAGATTATAAAATTTATAAGGAAATGCAAAAGACCTAGAATAACCAAAGGAGAACAAAATCACTTCCTAAATTGCAAAACTCACAATAGAGGTACAGTTGTCAAGACAGGACCAGCATAAGGATGATGGTGTTGGCAAATAAACAATGAATATACCATGGACTGCCAGACAAAAGAACAAATCTATCCTGGAAGAAATAAAGCCAGAATGTGCTTAAATGGAAGAATGGTAAGACTTCATCTCATGTGCTTTAGACATGTTCTCTGAGGGGACCAGTCCCTGCAGAAGGACAACATGCTTGTTAAAGTAGAGGGTCAGCCAAAAAGATGAAGACCCCCAACATGATGGATTGATACAATGGTTACAGCAATGGGTTCAAACACAGAAAAGACTGAAGATGTCACAGGACTGGGCAGGGTTTCATTCTGTTGCATATAGAGTTGCTATGAATCAGAATCAACTCAATTGCACTTAACAATAACACTGTAGCTCAATAGAACAGAATTAAATCCTTACACTTATGGATTATTGAACCCAGATGTGAAGCAGAGAGTGCTATGGGAGGAACGGCTGGTGTCAGAATCGGGTAAAGAAGGTTGTAGGGTAGAAGCATGTCTGACTTACACTTCATAGGAATTGGCCTTGGACTGGTTTTGAGTTTGATTCTCTTTCCTCCTTGTGAAGCCAGGGGGTGTCAAACATGTCTCCCACATGGTTTTTGCAACCCCCCAACAAGATGGATTCACACAGTGACATCAACAATAGGCTGGAGAATAACCACACGTGTGAGGATGGAGCAGGACCAGGTAGTGTTTCATTCTGTTGTACGCACAGTCACTGTGTTGGAACGGACTCAAGGATGCCTAACCCCAAACAACAACAAACTGTGAGAAAAGAAAACCCAGTTCTCTTAGCTTCGATGGTTTGATGATCAGAACTCGAATAGAGAAGGATTAAGACATTTAATAAAGGAAGCAAGTGTAAATTGCTACAATTTGATGAACTGGATGTATACTTACAGACGTCGTAGCTCAAAATATCAAGCGAGAGAGAAGGACTATTCACATCAAGGATCAAACCTATCTCCTCTGTACATAGCGTTATTAGGGATGGGCACCTTAGACATTGGTGACCTAAAATGGGGGGAGGGAGCTATGAAGGCAAGAAGTAGCTGGCTTACAAGTTTTCAAGAGCAAGTTTAGAATCCCCACTGGATAGTTTTCCTCTTGTCTAGAGGGGTCTGGTAAAAAGAGATGAGGATAGGATTCATTGATTCAACAGTGAGTAATTGTTATCATACCTAATCACGATTATCACAACTGTAAAGGTAGAAGTTGTGTAACAAAAAGGGAGGAGTAGTTAATCTTACATTCTAAGACCAGAGGACCCTAGAACCATCAAGAGAGAAGAGCATGAACTGAATATGGGATCCTAGTCAGAGAAGCAGTGACGCCAGAAATGACGGCAGAGGTGATGGCATGGAGACATTTAGCAGCTGAGGACTCTAGACTCATGGAAAGAGAAAGGTTATGTGCTGGCAGCCAAGAGACTGGCTTCCAGAATGTGCCCTTTGGTTGTATAAACGATTGCATAGTCCTGTGTGGGTTTTTGTTGTTGTTGTTGTTTGTTTGTTTTTGTACATCAGAGGAAGGGAGGAGGAGAGGAAGGTTTTCTTGACAAAAAAAAAATAATAATCTATGATGGTTTTGGGGGGAGGAGAAAATGACACATGCTCTAGAGGGCAGACATGCATTGACATGGGTAACAGGGCAGGAATGTACAACCAGAGGGAGGTTGGCAGAGCAAAGATAGGGGTGGCAGGAGACACAGGGCAGGATGCAGTAGTTAAAGGAAATAAAGGTAAATGCTGTTAACTGTAGGTTCATGAAGCAAAGTATATGATTTGTTTAATGTAAAACTGATAACTTGTAATTGTTATCAGGACTGACTGTGAGGGATGGAAATGTAAAGGTAGACGTTTTGTAGCAAGGAGGGGAGTGGTTGACTTTGCAGGCCAGGAGTGGAGGTCCCTGGGACCATCAAGGGAGAAGAGCAGAGAGCGGGACCCTACCCAGAGAAGCAGTGATGCCAGAGATGAAGGCAGAGACGATGACGTGGAGAGATGGAGCAGCTGGAGACTCTAGACACAGAGAGGGAGGGGAGCTGTGTGCTGACAACTGAGGGGGGCGGGCAGGCTTGCAGGGTATACCCTTTGATTGGTTGATGATTGTAACCATGGCAATGCAACGATACATAATAGGATGAATATAAAACTAATGTTTTCCCATGTAAACTATCACATAATTTATAATAAAACATTCAAAACAACAACAACAACAACAAACTGATGACCTGTCCTGTAAACATTCAAACCTTCAGTCAATTCACAATAAAAAGTTAAAAAAAAAAAAAGTCCAGTTCTTCAAAGGTCCCTACTTGTGGGACATCAGTTGTGGCAGCACTAGAGCCACGAACCAGCAGTGTCTTGGAATGTTAACCCTACACTTACAATGTAATCCCACTCCTAGATATCCTGCCCAAGAGAAATGAAAACAAATGTTCACACTAAGATTTGCACACAAACTTTTGCATAATGTTTCATAATAACCAAACCCAGAAACCACCTCAATGGTTATTACTGGTGAATGGGCAGAGAAACATGGCATATCCCTAAGAGAAATCTTATTTGACAACGCAAAAGAGTTACTATTGTTGTAAAGTGCCATCGAGTTAGTTCTGACTCATAACAACCCTTTATAGGATTTCTGAGGGGTCGATGGTGGGTTTGAACTGCCAACCTTGTGGTTAGCAGTCCAGAGCTTATCCTACAGCATCACACCAAGATTCCATGAAACAGAGCGAGCTGCTGATAATATACAACAGTCAGTCTCCAAAACATGGTGCTGAAGAAAAGAACCCAGATACAAAGAGGTTGGAGTCCACATAGCTCTTACTCTTCTCCTTGTCACTTGAATTCCTTTTTACTTTGAACTTAGTAATAGTCTTGAATTCTCTATCCCGGCTCTTCTCATCCACAGATTTGGTCATGACCTTAGTCTTCATCTCGAATGTGCCCTTGAACTTGACCTTAGCCTTTTCTCTCAGGATACTTGTATATTTGGTGGTTAAATCTAAATTTATCAATTTGTTCATATACCTGAAGCAGAATAATCTCATGATTCCCACCTGAATAATCACTCACCATTATCCAGTCACACCTGCAACTTGTCTACACAACGTACCTGACTCTTCAGCAGTGAAGAGGCTGTGGGTGAGGTTTGGGGTTGGGGTTGCTGAGCCCTAGTTCCTCTGGCTTGCTGAGTTCAAGAGTCCACAGGAGTATCCAAGTGAAAGTCCAGCCCCCAGCTGACCACTGAAGCTGGGGGAGGACACTGAGTTCTCAGGGTGACAGCTGAGTCTGCAGTGTCCTGAATGAGGTTGGGGTCTGTGGTCAGATAGGCCTGAAGAGCAGTGGACAGGCTGTTTAGGAAGTCCTCCAGGGACACCAGGATAAGAGGCAACAGTGAGAGTGGAAGGAGGGGGAGCTACTAGGAGGGTTGGGGGCACAGAGAAGCAGAAGGCAGGGTCTTTTCAAAAGCTTGAGGTCAGGATGGAGCAGCCTGAGGTCTCTGGGGCACAGAATCCTCGTCCCAGGATTCTGGTCTGCCAGAGCTGGGAAGAAGGAAGAATATTGGTCTTCAGTCAAGTTCCTCCTAACCTTAAGGTGAAGGCCTGCTGATCATGTGATAGGCAAGGGGTGGGCTATAAGGCACAAGGCTGTCCCCCACTCAGCAGGCCTCTCCTCCCTCTTGGGACTTCCTCTGGGCCCTAGTCTTCAGTCATCAACCCAGGGCTGGGTGGGAATTAGTAGGAAGCTCTTGAAAATGGGAAACATCTCATATCCAATCATGGCACTCCGTTGAGTAGGGAGGGCCCCTGGGTTTAGGGTTATAAATACGCTGGAACTCCAGGAAGGCAGCTCTTGGTGCTAGAGGCTGAGGGACAGGCTACAGCACTTACAGCTGGTAAGTCAGACCTACAGGACAGAGAGTAGACACTCACTGCCTGCTAGGGGTGTCCACTCTGGGTGCTCACTCAGGATGTCTGCTTGGGGTGTCAACTAGGAAGGCTGGGCCTCCAGGTGCATGCTGGGATGCATGCTCAGGGTATGGGAGAGACGTGAGCACCCAGAGGGGGTTGGAGGCAGGGGTCACCATGCGTGTCAGCGTTTGGAAGTGGTTCAGAGCCTGATGAGGGTCTCACCATAGGGACCACCCATCTGTCACCACCCACCCACCTGCCTCGAAGGACCCAGGAGCCATGAGAGGCCTCTGTTTACTTCTGCTGGCAGCTCTGCTACATTGCCCAAACCAAGGTGAGCCGGGTCTCCATGAAGGCTGGGGCTGTGAGGTTCTGAGCAGAGTTGTCTCTGAGACCCTGGAAGATAGGAGAGGTCACAAGTCCTCCAGGGGGTGGAGTCAATGTGGAGGAATCTAACCCCATCCCCTCCTCCAGCTCTAGCCCTGAAGTGCTACACCTGCACTAACCCCCAGGACAACAGCCTATGTGAGGCCATGTCCTGCCCAGGAGACCAGCAAGTCTGCTACATTGGTGTGATGACTACGGCCAACAACAAGGGTGATTCCCAGACAAGTACGTAAAGAGGGGGGTTCACACTGAGGTTCTTCTTGGCCTCATGGAAGGGTGGCAGTCTGGCAGGGACTGTGTCCCCTGGAGCAGAGCTCTGGCCCTCACTGGTATCCTCACTAGTCCACAGAGGGTGTAACCTCCAGGGGAGTGCCTTGAGGCAGGGGACTTGAGGCTAGGTCTGGTTGTAGAGGGGGGCAGGAGTGGGAGTGCTGGCGTCTTCAAACAGAGTCTGATCTCTTATCCACAGAGAAAATGCAGTTACACTTGAAGGGCTGTGCCCCCACCTGTGATTCCGTCTCATCAGTCTCAGAGAAAACAACCAAATTGGTCAAGGACATCATCCCCATGGGGTCCATAGGCCTGTCCTCGATGGATATGAAAGTGTCCAAGTGCTGTGACAGTGACCTCTGCAATGGGGTGGCCCTGGTGCGCCCACAGTGGACACTGTCTGTGGGCCTCCTGCTCCTCTGGACCTACATGTGAGGCCCCCTTCCCACGGCTCCTGGGGGCTAGGGGAGGGATGATGCCGCTGCTTGGAGTCCCACCTGTGGATGGCATGTCAGCTGGCCACACACAAGCCCAGACCCTCCAGGGCTCAACAGACCCGTACGAGGTCCACTGAGGTGGGCAGTGGTCCCGCGGTGACCCCGTGCTCTTGCGCCACACACATCTCAGACCCCAGAACCCTCAGGCCCCGGCCGGTCCCGTCGCCCGCAGCGCTGCGCAGCTCAAATAGTAAACGCTTTTCTGTCCGCCAAATCCGCCTCTGTCATCCCGCCTCCACCGCACCGCACCGCAGATAGGCTGGGGGCTTCCATGACCTGCCTCCATCTAGGCTGTTCAGGTCCCTGTCAGAGGGATGGGAGACCGAAAAAGGGAGATTAGGGTTTGCCGTAATGGGGGCGGGGACAGCTCCTGGTGGTGGCGTCCAAGACCCACCCTGCCCCATACCCGCCCCAAACAAGGCAAAAACAAGGGTGGGTCTGGTTCCGTCTTCCTCGCGCCTGGTCCCGGAGGCCTCTCACAGGAGGGGGCATCGCTCCTCTCCAAGGGCGGGGCAGTGGTCACCACAGAACAGGAATACTGGCTGGGCTCCTTTTCCACACTTCATTCATCTCCTGTTCCCCTCCCTGTAACTGAGCTCCCACTCCCCTCCCCTGAAGACTGGGTGACCCTGCATCAACGCCTCCTCCTCCTCCTCCTCCTCCTCCTCCTCCTCCTCCTCCTCCTCCTCCTCCGCACCTGCAGCTTCCTCCTCTCACAGCACCCTGTTGCCCTGCCATCCTGAGCTCACAGATGTCACCAGAGTATGTGGGGCCTTAGGGACCAGGGAGGGAAACTGAGGATTGGGAGAGGGTGGGCTATCTTTGTGTGGGTGGTGAGTATGACCTTGAATTGTGTGTGACAGCTGCACTCCACTTGTGTCTTCCTCAGAAGATGGCAGGTTCTTCTAGAAACAGTGGTATACAAAGGTACCAGGGCCACCCCCAGCAGGCCTGTTCCCCACTGAGTGGAGACGGTGATCTCCTTGGGGAGCTTTTTCCCAAAGGAAGGGGTTTGTAGCCCCCTTGAAAGTGGCTGGGATCACAGGCCAGGGTGGCAGCCAGTGTTGCTGGGTGGTGATCACGGAGCCTTCAGGACATCCTGATCCCTGGGCAGTGCCTGAATCCCAAGCAGACCCAGACTCCAGCAGGCCGGCCAGCCCCACACCACGACCTGGAAGAATTCAGTTGAATTCCCAAGTCTGGCTTCCTGGGTCTCTGCCTGTGGTCCAGGTTGGGGAGGGCAGGTCAGCAGAGGCAGAACTCTGAAAGCCTATCCTCAACATCTCCCCTTGCTTCCCGCATCTGCCTCCCCACAAACACACTCAACTTGCCCCTCCCCTGCTGCTAATGGGCCTAAGCACCCACAATGCCCCACCCCAGTGCAGAGAGGAGAGGCCTTCATCAGTGTCAACCTGTCTGCTGAGAGGGGCTGGTCGGCCACAAAGGACTGACATCTCCCCGCTCCTGCCCAGCCAGTCTCCAGCCTCCTGATTCACTGCACCAGGTGTCCTGGGAAACCACCTCCAATTGTGACTGGTCTGGAATTTTCCCAAGGGTCCCCCAAGGTCTTCCCAGTTGGAGAAATATCCTCGAAGCTGAGGATGAGCTCTGAGAGGCATGTCTGAGGGAAGGGTGTGGCAAGTGGAGACCCTCTCTGTAAGGGTAGGCGTGGTGGTCTCTGAGGACCCTCCATGCCAGGACCCTCCTTTCCCATCTCTGATACTTTTAAAGAAAGATGTTTCTGGAAGTCCCACCCATGGGCCAAGTGGCAAGATTGCCCCTGAATGTGGCCACTCCATGAAAGGTATCCCCTAGGAAGACTGTCCTCCATGGTCCCAGCCAGGTAGGAGACGTTCAGACCAATGGCTCAAAACAATTTGAGGATTAAGCTCCTCTGGTAGCACAGTGAGTTAAGTGTTGGGCTGCCAACTGAAACGTTGGTTTGAATCCACCGGGCCATTCAAGGGAGACAGCCATGGCAGATTTGTCACCCTCAGAAAACAGTTCTACTCCATTCTACAGGGTCACTGTGAGTTGGAATCAACCCCTGGCAATGAGCTCACTGCCTCCCACCTAGACTGCTGTCTCTGTCTGCCCATGCATTCCACATCTAATGAGTTTTCATTTGAGAGAATGGGATACAATTCCCACATATCTGTAGTTCTTCCTTAAGTCGTGCTATTGAAGAAACCCTGCCCAACATGCCAGTGAGTCTTGATGAAAACAGCTGTTAACAGACCTGACATGAAAAGTGGGAATTAAAATATTTTCAGGTCTCCATTTGCTTCTGTTCAGAGGACTAAAAATGTGAGAATAATCAGAAAGTGGGACCAACCCAAGTGTCCATTAACAGATGAATAAATAAAATATGTTAGCTGCAAGATCAGCGCTTCAAATTCAACAGCCACTCCTCAGAAACACTATGAGTCAGAACCATCTCAACGACACTTAACAACAACAACATATATGAGGGACTAGAGTTTTGGTGTGGACTGCAAGGTCGGTTTGAACAGCAAGGCTGATGGTTCAAACTCACCAGTTGCTCCTCGGTAACTGTATACAGGGTTCTATGAGTCACAATTGGGTCAATGACACTTAACAACAACAACATATATGAGGAAGCTTCAAAAGGTTCATGGGAAATTTCCATGATCTTTTCATTTATTTTCCACAAACTTTTTGAAGCCCCTTCATATATACAAAGGAGACCTGGAGGAACAATGGGAGAAAAAGTGGGTAATCTGCTCCCATAAAAATTACACAAGAAGGGGGAGGGGAATGGAAGAACAAAGTGGATGGGAGAAGAGTTAGGCAGGTTTTCATGGGCTAAGTGGGACAGAGGTAAATAATGATGTATGCACAACCTTGGAACAACAGGGGTCTGGGATACAGGGATTGAAACATGGTTGGAATGGGCAAACGGGGGGAAATAATGTTAAGATGCTTGGCAGTCTTATGAATCTTGGTTTCCCTTACATACCATTATAAAATAGATACTTGAGGGGGAAAGAAAGGAACAGACAGAAACATCACCATAGAAAGCTTGCAAGTCTGTCTTCTGCCCATAACTGATTAGAATACCTAAAATGGGGCTATAATGTGCCCAGTGAAGGAGGCTTCCTGTGGAGCCTCTGCATTATATAAGACCATAGGTGGAATCCTGAACCTCACCCAGAATCTTCTGAGGTGGGAAATTTCCACTTGAAATGACAAGCAGACCAGCCTGGAGTAGCTAGAAGAACAGAAGATACTTCTTGAAAGAAAGACCTACAGGAAAAAAAACAAAACAATAATTGTAGTCCAATTGACCACTACAAGAACAAATAAGTAGCTCTCCCAGGAGACGTCAAGGCAAATGGTCAGGTCCCCTCAGGACAAACCCCTTTCCAAGACTAAGACTCAATGGGAATACACAAGCAGACACGTGCTCTGACTGGTGACCACGTTCGTCACCGATAAGGGGAACTGAGGGAAAAACAGCAATGAAGCTGCGAGCTAAGCCTTAAAACGTTCAATAGACTCCTGTGAACCCAGGTGGAGACCTGGTTGACCAGCAGTATGGCAAGACCTGGGGACTCCTGGGCCCAGAGACAGCGACTAGATAAAGGACTAGATAAAGGTAGTCACAAAGGACTAGATAAATCATCCAGCTGATAAGAAGAGAGGGCATATGCACAAGAACACCCACACTTGCAGATAATACCCACTTGAACTGGTTTCAATAGCTAGATGATCAGAGCTCAACCAGAAGAAATAAGAGGGGGAAAAAAGAGTAATCTGATATAATTTGATGAACTTGACCTACACCTATGGCTGCAGTAGCTCAAAAGACGGAATAAAGCTTTATAGCAAGGATCATTCCCACCCACTCCACACACAGAGTAGACAGGGATGGGCAACTTGGACATTGGCTACCCAAAATGGGGGTGGGCTTCAAAGGCAAGAAGTGACTGGCTTACAAGCTTTCAAGAGGAAGCCTAGATCCAGAAGGTGCAGAGGAAGGTAGAATCTCCAGTGAGTAGTATCAAATCTGTCTGGGTGGGGCTGATGAAAGGAGATGAGGATAGCACTCATGTGGTACAATAGTGAATAATTACTACAGGACTGACTGTGAGGGTTGGAAATGTAAAGGTAGATGTTTTGTAGCAAAAGAAGGGGAGTGGTTGACTTTGCAGTCTAGGAGTGGAGGTCCCTGGGACCATTAAGGGAGAAGAGCAGAGAGCAGGACCCTACCCAGAAAAAGTGACGCCAGAGATGGAGTCAGAGACGATGATGTGGAGAGATGGAGCAGCTGGGGACTCTAGACCCAGAGAGGGATAGTGGCTGTGTGCTGATGACCAGGGGGCAGGCTTGCAGGGTATACCCTTTGGTTGGTTAATGATGCATGAAGGGGGTTGTAACCATGACAATGAAATGATATTCAATAGGATGAATGTAAAGCTAATGTTCTCCCATGTAAGCTATCACATAATTCACAACAAAATTTTTTTTTTTTAATTTACAACATAGAAAACCCCACGAGACAGTTCTACTTGATCATATAAGCTCACTATGAGCGGAATGAACTTGACAATCCCACCCAACTGCTGTCGAATAGATTCTGACTCATAGTTACCCATCAGATAGAAGACTGCCTCCATAGACTCCTAGGCTGTAAGTCTTGACAGAGGCAGAATGCCTCATCTTTCTTCCTCAGAGCACCTGGTGGGTTCCAACTACTAATGTTTTAGCTAGCACCTGAGGGGAGCTCCCACAGACAGGACTCCTTGACAGAACAGCAACATGTAATATCCAGCCACAAAGATGCATGAAGTTCTGCTCCATGTACATGGTGGATGAAGCTTGAAGACATCAAACACAAAAGAGTGTCACTATATGAATGCACTTGTATGAGGTATCCTGAAAATGCAGAGATCAAGATTTACTAATGGTTCAGAG